TCAAGAGAAGTACATTTTTACATCCTAATGCTTCTGTCTTTAGCTTAGAAAGAAACTGACATCGAAAGGTTGGGGGGGTGATGTGGCGTGACTCATTTGGTAGTAGAGGATCCGTTGTCTCAATGACGTCAGACGTGATAAATATGTTTAGTTCGTGCTATTGTAAAATTCTGCTTCATAATAACCCAATGCGATCGGTGTACGCATCTGCTTCTAGAATATGTCATACCTATTCACATGTTATAGTTGTAGAAAAATGGTACCAACAAATGCTTGTTAAGTGAACATCGTTATCAGAATTATCTCCTTGGAATCAATATTTTTTTAATCATTTCACCTCATGCAAGGAAATAAAGCCACTATGACACAAGGGGGTTCCTGAGTGTGAAAGAAAAAAATAGAAACATTATTAAAGAGCGAGAACAATAGAAGCGCAACCAGGAATACAGTATATAACGATTGACATTGCATTTAAATTTTTGATTGGTTTGGTTTGTTTTACAGCATATCAACCCCAATGGGTTATTTAATGCCGACAAGATTTTTATTGCTTCCATGCTCCTCAAAACCTCCTGATCAAGGGCCTTGCTGTTGGATGTAGTTTATTTAAATTTTTGAAGATTGACGGGAAAGTATGGGGTCGGAAGTGAGTTCCACAAGAGAGAAAAGAAACTGTTAGCATAGAACTTACGCTTATATCTCACCAATTCAACTAAAAATACGATACTATGATACGCACCCCCACTCTATTAAATTTCAATTTTCATAAGGTAGTATTCATAAAATACAAAATTTATTTTAACCTAATTAATGTACAATAATAGATCATATGCAATGTAGGCGAACAATTCAACTAGAAAAATTGAAAATAATTACAATGTATCTAAATACAAATTCGAGACATGTCATAAAATAGATCATTCCGGGAGCACTTCGACGTGGGGTAATGGTTAACAAGCTTGCCTCGCTATTACGACTGAATGGTGAGTTCGATCCCCACCGAATGTTCTTTTGAACGCGTGCCACGTCTAAGCTACGCTTAGAAAGTAATTTGAACATATTGATGTGGTGTCGCGGTTAGCAGAACAGTTACGACTGAGTAATGAGTTCGATCCTCACCGAGTGCCCCATACTTTCGGCCTTGTGCCGTAAAAAAAATCAACTTTTGGATACTTCGACGTCTCGCTAGGTTAATTACGACTGAATAGTGAGTTTGATCCTCACTGGGTGCATCACACTTTCAGACGCTCCATAAATAAATTAATGTTTTGCAACAATTCTTAAAATCAACTTGAGATTTTTCTTGTTAAAAAGTTGAATAATTTTAAAACACATTCAACATTATGAATAAAAAATAGTGTTTTTTCGAGACTTTAACATGCACAAAACAAATTCACGCATTTGGACGAAAACAAAAAAAGACCCCAGAATGACGTCAACATCCGCAAAATTTCTTCACCTTTTAAAATAAATGGTCAGTTGTACTTAGTTTAATTTGTAACGTATATAAATGTAGGAAGAAAAAAAAACAACAAATGTTCATAAAAAAATAGCTAGAGTCACAAAGCACTGTCCGGGGCCCCCAATTAGGCTTGCCCCTCCTAGGAGGTCGTGGGGTTCGGTCGTAGAACGCGCCGATCCTGATCACGTATGAGTCTTTGTAATGTGGTAATAGTCTCTAATAATAAGCGTGTGTTTCCGTTCTTGAAATCGTGATGCTGAGAACAGGCAACAACTGAACCGCCAAAAAGTGCTATAAATAAAACACAATTTGTGTTACTCTTCTTATCAGCACATGTTTATCATCATATCAAAATGCTTGGTTTCTTTTCGCAACAAATTCCAAAGTACTTATTTAGATTAACCGCGTTACTTAGAAAGATTACTTCACTACTTACTAAAAACACTTAGTTGGCAATAATATAAGCGACAGATGAATATAAAAATTATTTGAGGCTAATTTGTTTAGATAATGCGCTGCGTATTGTTTGCGTCACGTAGCAATACTTGTTTGTAAGTAAAATGATGCTCTAAAATAAGTAACCAAGTAATCGTTTTAAGTTCTCTGAATATCGGTGCCTTTTCTTTTTGTAGAGGGGGACATCTTTTGTTTCAGAAATAAAACAATGATTTAGGAACAAAAGCTTTTTTTTCTTTTGATATATCAAAAATATAATTTTGCAAGGCGAAAATTTCACTGAATGTTAGAAATTTGGAAAGTTTTCATCTTAAATCAAGAAAATACCAACTTTAATGACAAAATAGTTAACTTATAGAAAAAAATGGTGTTAGTTTTTAAAAACTGACAGCAAGTGGATATGGATTTAAGTTTAAAATTAATCAGAATGGCGCAAAACTTGAAGCTGTCTCTATAACACCCGCCAATAAACACTGATTTCAAACTAATTGTCATATGATAATAGTGATTTTGACAAACATTATTGTTTACTGTAACATAGTCTTACTATTAAGTCTTATTATTATTAGTAATAGTAGTTTCAACGAAAGTATACAAATGTTACAATAACGAATAAATATCTGTTGTTTTCAGCAGTCGTAGTCTGCAAGAAGTATAATGGCGCGAAAAAGGAAATCGTCGACTTGAATCGTTTGTTGCATTCATTTTCGCACTAATGCCGTTGGGAAAAGCATGAATCCATCTATCTTCCCTCTGTGTGTTAAATAACGGTAGACTGAACTCTCTGGCCTTGGATAGCAGCCAGTCTAGGCGAAAAACTATTCTGAATTCAAAAGCATGGAGAAGGCAATGGAAAACCACTTCACTATCTTTCTTTACTAAGAATTCATGGCAATTCACAGTTATAGTAAAAAAAAAAACGTCATCTGTGTCGCGCCATGATTGCCTACCTTCTAAAGGGACATGGTATTATTATAAAAAAAAGTTTTGACGTGGTATGCAAATCAATAATAAAGCATCAGTCATAATATTACGTAATGAAACATTTACCACGTTAAATCTGACTGTTGATCTGTCTGTCTGCCTCTCTCACTCGTCTTAAGAGGTTCTCTGAATCTCCGATTTTATTATTATAGAGGCCCAGGGACGTCATCAGCAGACGCTGGTGGTATATATGGTAGTAGATACTGAGCCTTTTTTTCGCCAATTACCCATATTTTTCTTCGCTACACATAGTAGTCGGACGAAACAGAATGCCCTTGTATTTCTCCATGGTCTGACGATTGCATTAAGTATCAGACCGTCGTTATCCAGTGTCCACACTGCTTATATTTACATACACATTGTGCCTGATCCTGAGTATTTTTCTCTCAGAAATATAGCATAACAACTTAAAATGCCTTACTGTATTTTTCATGCATATGCAGACACCGATGTCAACACCGAGCGGCGACAATCTGTTTTAAATGCTTGAGGAACGCAATCTTTAAAACTTTTAGGGCCTAAAGTTTAGGCCCTAAAGATTGCGTTCGTGCATGAAATAGACTGTCGCCGCTCGGTGTTGTTAACCCCAGTGTCCACTTTTATATTTACATACGTGTTCTATCACTGATATTGAATAAAGCCATAAATATATAACATACCTTAAATAAAAACTATATTTTATCATACATATGTTACTTTTAAAAGAAAAAAATTAAAATAAAACATTAAAAAATTAATAAAACTACAATATATTAAAAAACTAAGTAATACACATGAAAACTGAAAAACAACTGTTTCAAAAAATCAAACAAAAGTAACTGAAATATAAATTTACTTCGTGTTTTCAAAACACTTTTTTTTTAAACTGTAAAAAGAAAAGTATTTATATTTTATTTTTATAATGAAGGTCTCATGAATTAATAAACATTAAAACATTTTAAATATTAATTAATATTAAAAACTATATTTAAATATTTAATTAAAAACTGTTTCAAATCAGATACTTTAACTAAAAAAAAAATGGTGCTAATCAGCTATTTTTAACAAAAAAAAAAAAAAAAAGAATCTGACTCCAATCAATATAATTTCTGTTTGAAATGTACTACAGGGAATTTTGCTTACTGGAAATGATAAATTTAACCCTGTAGCTTTCAATTAAAGCTAAAATGAATTTTTTTTTTTTTTAATTTTTAAAATTTATTTTTTAAACTTTGGTATCGCGAATTATTCGTGCATTAGTGGAGGTAAGTTTAAAAATAAAAATATGTAAAATGTCAAAAGTTAGATCAAAATGGTTAAAAATTTCTCGTTACAAAAACAAAAAAAAAGACGTTTTTTAATCTTTGAACAACAAATCAACATTTCCAGTATTCAAATACATACATCATAATGCGCGTAAAATATACACAAGAAGATGAAAAAAAATCTTTGTTCTAGGGTGGATTTTTGAGTGACACACAAACTCACACGTGTTTGTATGAGGAACTGTGTCAAGCAAGATCGAACACACTCTCTGCAGAGAGTATGAGTTCGCTTCTTAACAACTATTACCCCGTCCTACCGCGAAACTCCCTTATTTTTTTATTTTTAACAAGTGGTACAGTCGCATCGCACAAGTGATGAAATTTAAGATCGGCAAAGAATTTTTTTTTTTTTTAAGCTAGCACCATGCGATGTAACCGTGGTGTCACAAGCCAGTAAATAGTAAATACTACCCAACTCACTTACGATAAATAAATAAGTACATAAATATAGTACCTACACACACACACATTAGGTAAGCAAAGAGCGGGTTACTTTTTTTTTTTTTCCTAGAAGGAACGTGTCACGTGATCCCAAAAAGTTACCATCTACAGACAAACTGCGCTTCTTTCGTTTTTGGCGCTCTAGTTTAATTTGTTTTAGTTGCTTAAACCCGTCCATTTTGAAAAGAACTCTCTTCGCTTCTATTTTTTAAGCGTTAAAAAAACAAAACCCACCAGCACCATAAGCTATTACGATTTTTTTTTTTTTTTTTTTAAAACTGGAACGTGTGTATAGCAAAACAAAGTCGAAAGAAATTTCATCAAACAAATGGAGCTACTTGCTAATATCTTAGAATTTTGTGGAAGAAACTTATTCGAAATATCTATCGCCTTGTTGGTCTTGTTTCTCGTTTATATCTTTCTTGTTGTTCAAATACACGAATTGGTTGGAAATATAACTCGCGTTGCTTTTCATAGTGACATTTGCTCAGAACAATCAGAACTTCTATCGACGTTACTTCATCCCTTAAAAGTCGACCAACTCAGTGCGGATCGTTTGTTGGATGTCTTGGATATTAGTGGAATCAATTGCCCCTTTCAACACTTACCGACTGGATGTCAGTTGACCTGTTGGGAACCTAATCCATACGGTCGACCGTTTTTGGAAAAAAAAGCTGAAGAATCAGAAAGAGTATTTCTCAAAGAGATACTCTCGGGTCCCATTGGAGATCTGGACAAAATTGAAGATGGTAGTTTCGACATTATTGTATCTCATATGTCACTGTGTTCAGTTCCTGAGCCTGAAGAAGTTATCGCCGAAATCCACCGTCTCCTTCGTCCGGTAGGATTTTTTTTTCTTTTCCTTTTCTCTATTTTGGCTTTTTTTTTTTTTTTTTTTCTAGAACTCTTTTTAGTAATGTTTGCAATGCATTAAGTCCTTTTACCTGTAGGAAAAATGAAAATACTTAAATTTAGTAATAAAATTTGCTGTTATACAAATACTTATGCTTTTTAAAAATGCTGACTTTTTTTTAAAAAATAAGTCAAACTTAGACGACAGTTATTACATGAGCCGCATAAAACTTTTTAAGCAGGTCATTTAATGATTTGTTCTGTCACTTTCTTTCTTTTTTTTTTTTTTTTTTTAAACCTCTTGCCACTGATAAGAATTAGAAATTCTTTTGTTTTAGGGTCACAGACAAGGCGAAGGTATAGGTTAACTCCTAAGTATCGCCTTGATAGCAATGGCCCTCTTTTCTATAATCTAAGAAAGCTTACAACAATAACATAGCAGCAAGGAGTCCTAATCTCTTTGAAAAAGAAAAAGTGGATTCGTGCCAAGTTATTAAGTGTGAATTTCGTCTGTTCGTTGCTGTATTGTTAACATTTTTTTTACGCTAACCTTGCACCTTTTTTTTTTTTTTTTTTTTTTTGTAGTCTTACTCGGATGACTTATTTTCACTCAATTTATTTTACAATTGATATTCAAATTTGAACAAGAAAAAGTTCATGACTTATTTTTATAGCAAATAATTCTTATAGACTAGCAATTCCTTAGGCTGTGTGTCAGAATCGAAAAATATTGATTTAGGTGGAGGGTTCTTTCTATGTATGATAATATCGATAGTGTCAAATCTATCCCTGACTTTGAAAGAGTTATTGGAGCTAGTCGTTCGACTTTTTTCTTTTCTTTTTTTCAGGTGGGGGAGTTACAAAACACATTTCTTTTAAATAAGGAACAAACTTATAATTCAGAAACTAAAATGTTTTGTGCAAGCGCTTAAAAAAAAAGTTTAATTTAAGAATTAAGCAGATATTACTGATATTGTCACATTTTCAAACTTGATATTTGTAAATATTAAAAATGACTTATCCAAAGGCCAATAACTCTTCAAAGTCAGGGATCGATTTGGCACCATGTCGATATTATAAATAGGGCCCCTAAACCAGTAACCAATCGTTCTGACAAATGACGCCGCTTATGGGAGGTATGTAGAATGCTAATTTATAAAAAATATTTCCTAAAGTTACCTCATTTTTTATATATTTTTTTTTTTAAGAGGACCACTATATTTAAGTAGTTCCAATCTTAAGACCATGCGATACACTTCACATTTACAAATCTACTTTGTCCTTAAAGACCCTCAGGGTTACAGCTTGGTAAAAATTGGGTTGTCTTATTTAGTCTTTAAATACTTGAAATTGAGTATTGACGCACACATAATCTAATTGGAAGACCATAAAAGACCACAGGTACTAAAATTTGAATTTCGCAACTTGCCATTAAGATTTTTTTTTCTTCTTTTTTTTAAAGTAAGATGTAAGATGATTTAATTTGGGCCAAGATTGAAAAGTAAATTTAAAATTTTGTACTTCTGAAAATTCAACAAATAATCCAATTGGCTTCAATTAACCAGGTGTGAATGAATGCTACTCTTGTTTGTAACCATTTATGGTGCTTGTTTTGGTAAAAGAAAACAAACAAATTGATGATTTAAAATATTCAACCTCTCTCATATATATATATATATATATATATATGTATGTATGAGGGGTGGAAATTTTAATTATTCGAAATTTCATAAAAATAAGTGGGGAGTTGTAAAAAAAAAAAAGTTTAACTTTCTACCAATATTTTCTAAAATAAAATTAAAAAATAATTTCATTTGTGAATAAGTCCCGAAAAATTTCACTAAAATCTGATAATTATTTGATTTTTGAAAGAATTTCCAAAACGATGTGTTTTTAACGCTAAAATACCTCTAGAAATCTTTGGTCCACCCGCTAACGCAAGAAAAAGATTATTTTAAAACCAAAATTCTGAATGTGCTTAGAGAGGATTAAAAAAATTTAATAAAATGATCGAAAAATATTTTGGTCTTTTCTCTTAAATAACATTTTGATAAAAATCTGTTTTTTATCAAGTTGGAATTTGTTTTCATGATATCCTTTTTTTTTTTTTTTTTTTTCCTAGAAAATTTTTGGCGGTATCTATTTTCAACAAGCAATTTCATGCAAATTGGACATTGTTTGAAATAATTTTTTTTTGTTTTAAGTTTAGATGAAGATTGGCCTTGGTACATAAATTAAAAATTAAAATTTTTGTTTTAAACGGAGTATCTACGTACGTGGATTAAATCAAATTACTCTTTCTTTACAACTAGTGCAATCATACGTCCAATGAATGCACTAAAGGAAAAGGTAATTAGGTCATCTGAGTTTGCACCTTATTTTTCTTAAGATAATTTAATGACAAACCTTCAAATTTTATTTTTTATATTCTTGTAAAAGAACTTTAAAACATTGTCAGATAAAAGTGTATTATTAACCTTAAAAAATCAAAATATGGTTAAAATAACATACAAACCTTTTTAGATGATGAAATATTGTAACATTAGTAGAATTGAAATTACTAGGATACAATCAGGAAAGAGGGTTTGGAGAACTTTATACTCATCAGACATTGAGAAATGGGATAATTTTATCGCTACTAAAGGGACATAACCCATGCCAAATGTTTTCAAATTTTGTCAATGACGATGAGTGTAAAATTTGTTCAGACTATATTTTATGAGGGAATAATCTGGCCATTTTTTAGGCTATACAAGTACTGAGAAACATGCAGTCTGAAGCCGAATATAGTTTTGTAAAATATTGGAGCATGAAAAGTTCTTTATGGGATTGGTAAAAAATCCTGGATAGTCTTTCAATTTTCAAACATGCCTGCATATCGCTTGTCCCCCTTATATTAAAAGTAAATTTCTTAATATTTAACTTGATTCACAAAAGAAAATGGCTAATCTGGGAAAAGAAATTGGTTACAACTTGGTTCGGTTGGTTTGTTTTGTTTTGTTTTACGGCATATCAACACCTCAATGGGTTATTTAATGCCAACAAGATTTTTATTGCTGGTAATTTTTTTTTTTTTTTTCAAAAATGTATTGTTAGTATTAAAACCTATTTTTACACTTTCATAGTGTTTTGACACCAATTTGGGGGTTAACTATTTGGCCATATCTGGGACCCTAACAGATGCTACCACCCCAGGTCAAGGTGGACCTGGGAACACCAGCAATTAAAGGGTGGTTCCACACTCCTCATAACCTCCTGATCAGAGGCTTTGCTGTGAGATGTAGTTTATCATCTTACCCAGGATGGGGTTACAACTTGGGTTGCTCTGTAGAAAAACATCACACTTCTAGCAATGAAATAAGTTTGATTTTACTTAAAGTGCTGATAAGTCACATTTACAGTAATAAAATATTTTAAACTTGTGTAAAAAATGTTCATTTTTTTTTTTTTCTTTTTTTAAAGAAGAGACTCAATAATTTATCACCAGTTCTGTGTAAATGACCTGGAAAAAATTGAATGAATTTCTGACCTTTTCTTTCAACCTCCTTATCTAGTAAAATTATTTGACAGTAGTATTATTATTTACTCTAAGCTTTGTTTCTGTTAAAAGTCCAGAAGTACATGGTACCCAATGAGGATCGAGCTCTCTACTGACATATGGTCAATGAAATTAGTCACACCAACCATTATTCAACACAAAGGTGGTATTTATCTAGCATTGTTCTTAATGAAAAAGCAAAATTGTTTCTGTAAATCTATATAATACATATTTCGCATCAGTTGTTTGAAAACTTTCCTGTCTGAAAATGGATACTTTGTGCCAAAAAACAACAAACATTTTCTTTGCTATGAACCTTCAAAGGGTCAAGACATCCATCTGCTCTTCTTGGCACCTTGCTTGTTGTAAGACGAAGCAACTTTCTTCTTGTATCACATGCAACCTTAAAACACATAATTAAAATATGTACACCACAGTACACAGAAATAAATAAAATTAGATGTTAATTTACAATTTAACATACTTTTAGTGTTATTTCTTTGTATATTTTTATTCCTGTGAACATGAGGCTATCCCTGCTGGTATGATGTGAGTGATACCACACATATATTTCTGGTAGCCTTTTACTAGAAGGGCTGAGCTGAAATTTCTTTGTGATAAACAAGGATGGTGTTCAAAAATCATTTCAAGTTCTGAATTTAGGTAAAGCAAATATACCTGCAGGACACTTACTGTCTTCATTCTATCTATCTCCTTGCAGGCTGAAGTGACAATGCCAATCTGTACATCTCCAGGCATGGGAATAGCTTTCCCTTCAGTAATTAAACTTATATATATATATATATATATATATATATATATATATATATATATATATATAAAAATGTGTGTCTTATAACCTAAGAAAAGGTTACTGAATAAGAATAACCAAAATGAAGGTTGGAAATGGGATAATATTTATAAGAACATACAAGATTCGCTGAGAGCAGGTAGTAATTAATCGACTGCTAATGGTGAGCTAGAAGTGAAACACAAGTGAATTCAAATGACAACCACATACAGTATATTCTACTGTATTTATATGCATTGGGACCTACTCATAGGTATGGTATTTTTTATATATATATATATATATATATAGTGGTGAAGTGAATGCATGTAATTCTTATAGTTGCAAACATAAAACTTGGCTGGTTCAACTGATTATCACAAATTTCTTATTTTTTTTTTTTTTCTTTTCAGGGAGGCTCCTTTTATTTTCTGGAACATATTGCAGACCGGATGTGGTTCATGAGATTTCTTCAGCTTCTTAGTCTGCCACTTCTTTTTGTCTTGGGTGGCAAATGTCGACCAAATCGTCATATATGGCATCACATAGATGAGTCAGAATTTACCACCCACTCGTATGAGAGATTTCGTGTTGGAGCCTTCTCAGTCAGGTGTCCTGTCATTGTTGGAACAGCAACAAAGTCAGCTTAAAAATTGACTCTGTAAATCCACTACACCCTACCTATTCACATCTCACCTTCAAACCGACACCTCACAATTCTAACTGAAAGGTTGGAATTTTTTCAGTTACATACATTTGTTTCATTATGACTTCATAAGTCTGATTGATTCTAGAACAACAAAAAAAAAAATTAGAATCTGAAAAGTTTTAATCCTTCACATTCAGATGAGTTCTGTGGTTTTACTTAACTGAAAATGTCAGTTATAACCTGAATTCTGTCCCACCCACCAAAAATTTAAATGATTTCTATTTTTCATTATAATGAAATGCTGATTTAATGTGAAGCATTTTATATAAAGCATGCAGAGATATATATCTATATTCAGTTGTATGGATATGAGTTTGTGACCCTGAGTTTCACACTTGTGCGATCATCAGACAAACTGGCTTATTATTTAAAAATTGGATCTATTTATGTTTTTGTTTGTTTGATGGTGGGAGGGGGAAATTCTCCTCTCTGTCTGTTTGGGATGACACTCTCATACATACAGCTACACACACATACAGGTGTATGCATTTTAGTTCACACAAACACACCCATATAAACAATCCAAGGTTAGGTGTAGATAACACATCCAAACATGATCAAGCATAAATAGATCCAATTTTTAGATAATAAATCAGTTTGTCTGATTGCAAAAGCATGAAACCCAGGATCACACTCATATCCATACAATTAAATATGTTAGCTCTATCACTGACATTGAGCACTTTCCAGTAAGTACTGCATATAATATATAACATTAATCATGTTTTTATCAACATGATTATTATTTTTTTTCCTGATTAAAGTTGGTGTCATTAGATCTGAAAGCATAGAGTATTCAAACATCTTAGAATTGATTCTTAATAAATTAAGATTTAATTCTAAATTTCCAGTTAGATCTTTGTAATCCATTCTTTTTCCCTATAAGAAATACCACAATCACTTTTAATTGATCTGATTAAATCTTGCCATATTTAAGGCTTTTTGGTTACTGAATTTCTGGAGACCAATGTCTTTAAGAAATGATGCTAAGTTCATAACTTGTTTTAATGTTCACTTTTATATTCATTTCTCCCACACCTAATCAGAACTGCCATTCCATAAACACCTGTAATATTTTCTTTAAGATTATGATTGAACTCTACTGCAGTAATTTGTACTAAGGAATGTCTTCATGTTGGACTCTTAAGCCATTAATACCCATGATAAACACCTGATAATTATAGGTTTCTACCTCCTAAACCATTATTATTCACTTACCCTGAAACTGGATGGTGAGCATTCTTGAGTTCATCTAGATTGTGTTCACTGGGTAACTTGTTCAAAAATATATTTATTTTAGATTCTTTCAGTTCTGTTTTCAAAATATATAGGCTCTTTCTATTTCAGGGAAAAAATTATCATGGTGAAAATATTTTTTCATAATAGGATTTCAAAATAAATTTGAAGTGTTATCGTTTTTAAATTGCCAAAGTGAACAATTCATATTTTATTTTTGAATGCACGTAGTAATGTCTGATTGGAAGATGAATTTTTTTTTTATTTAACTAAAAAAAGCCCTTTTTTATTTTGCTGTTGTGATATAGATTTTTTTTTTTTTTTTTTTTTAAACAATAATTATAATCTCACTTTGAAGTTTATTTATCATTTTATCTTGTTATGAAATAAAATGTTGTAGATTGACTGTTTTATTCTATTTTTTTCTAAATAGGGGTACTCCAAAGTTCAGGGAACTTGAATTGTATGCAAACTAAACTTTTTGCATAGGATCATGGTAAAACTGCTTGGATTTAGAATTGCTGTACTAAATATAAAATGTCTACTCTAAATATATAAATATATATATATATATATATATATATATATATATATATATATATATGTGTGTGTGTGCATAAAGAAGTGATCAAACTCTATAAAAAGGCCCCTGCTAAACTAGAACTTAACCAGGAGGCTAGTATCCTAGCCAGTAAATTTAATTGAGAAAACAAAAAAAATTAATATAAAAAATTGTTTTATAACATTTAAGGACCATAAAGATGATTTCCTAAATAACCCCGAATGCTGGCTAATAAACACTACTAAAACACAGATGGGTAAAATTAGCAAAGTAATACTACAAGACACATGTGAATCATTAAGAACATTTTTAAATATTAACCAATGGCACTTTACTTGTGATTGTATTGAATGGTTCAAAAGTTACAATAAAAATAACAAATGTTCTTTCTGTAAAATATGATATAAGTTTTATCTATCCATTACAGAAAAAAAGTTAAAGCTTTAGAGTTGGCCAAGAAGTAAATGTTGATATCAAATGATAAAATCAACCTCATTAAACATTGTCATAAGTCACTATTATACCATAACGATGTATTATGGATTAAAAAAGGAGATAACGATAATTTTGACAACTCGATGGGGGCATATGACGGAGCAGAGGTATGTGAATTAGTTGGGTGCCTCCTACTAAATAGTTTCAATAAGTATATTGATCAGAGTAACCATGGTCTGTACAGAGACAATGGGTTAATCATAATAGATAAATGTACCCCTACAAAAAGTGACGTAATCCGTAAGAAATTACATTGGTTATTTAAGAAATTCTGATTCAAACTGGATATATAAATTAAAAGTCACTCACTACTTAGACATTACACTAGACATACATAATGGTACAGTTTCGCCATATAGAAAAAAATAACCAACAACCACAATATATTGATGTAGGTCCTAATCACCCTAAACGTATTTTAAAACAAATACAAAAAGGAATTAGCCATAGATTGTCCATTAACTCATTGGATAATAACATCTTTAATAAAAGTAAACTAATTTATGAACAAGCTTTAAAAAGTAGTGGATATAGAAGTAAATTAACATACATTGACATGGATAATTCCTCTAAAATGCAAAGCAAACACAAAAACAGAACTAGAAAAGTATTATGGTTTAATCCCCCATATAATTTTGCAGTTAAAACAAAAATAGGTAAAATGTTTTTCAAATTGCTTAAAAAGAACTTCCCACAGACAAATGTATTACATAAAATTTTCAATAAAAACTACATTAAACTAAGTTACAGTTGTATGCTTAACATGACTAACTTAATTAGTAAATATATTAGGAAAAAAAAATCAAACAAATCACACATCAGCCCCACTAAGTGTAACTGTAGAAATAAGGTCGCCTGCCCTCTCGAGGGCAGGTGCCAACAAGAGTACATGGTCTACCAAGTCAAAATACATAGAAATAAATCTAATAGTACTGATAAGAACCGTAAAGTTTACATAGGATCCAACCAGAGCTGTTTCAAAAAATGTTATTACAACCACCTCAGTAGTTTCAATCACAAAACCTATAAACATAGTACTATCCTGTTCACATATGTATGGAAGATCAAACAAGATAAGGACCTCATTTTGAAATGGGAAATATTAAAAAAATGTTATAAATATAAGGAAGGTGATAAGTTCTGTTCACTATGTATGGAGGAAAAATTAGCTATCACTACCCATAAGCAACCTAAAAATTTATTAAACCAAAAATCAGAAATTCTTAGGTGTAGGCATAGAAAAGGCTGGTTATTAGAATAGTTTTTTTTTTTTTTTTTTTTTCTCCTTGTCTCGTTATTGGCTTATCAATAACATAACATAACATAACATACCCTTTTTGTTGTTTGTGTTTTTTTTTTGTTTTTTTTTTGTGTGTGTGTGTGTGACATGGTTATGGTTTTATTTGGTTTTTATCAATAAATACTGTTCCGTTATTGTCCTTTTTAGCCAGTTTTACCCTGAAGATCCGTTTAGGTAAAACCTAGGTAGGTTTGCATGGCTCCTTAGGATTATTCTATATATATATATATATATATATATATATATATATATATATATATATATATATATATATATATATAAACGCACAATGTTTGGCAGAAATACCTCCCTACATGAGACATTAATGACAATCATGTTTTAATCTAGATAATTAATTTATGATTATCTGAGAGGTATTTACGTTCAGGCTTGATTCTTTTGTTCATTGTTTTTCCTTCTGAATGATAAAAGGAAGTTCATGCCTTAACAGGCATGAATGACACAACCACTCCTTGATTTTTCATAGACTAAAAATGTTAGAATTTAGTTTTTGAGCTTAAAATGTTGCCAAACCGTCTGCTCCTCTTATGTTGCAGCTTGCATCAACATTTGAGTTTTACTTTCAGCCATAATTCTTGGGAAGGATAGTGGAGTGGTTTCCTGTTAGATTTGTCATGATTAATTTGAGATCTTGCCTCTGGTTAGCTAGCCATTGACTTTAGTTTTCTATGTTTCCCTTTGAAAAGGGATGGTAGGGCTCATGTAGTTGTTGGTCATCCAAATCAAAAATAAGATATGAAGGGTTGTGTTTATGTATAGTTATTTTTAACTTAAGTTTTATTCAGATACCAGGAATAAATAAAATTTGAAGAAAGATAAATGTCAATAAAAATGGAGCTAACATTTGGTTAAAATATAATTTCTATAGCAGCTGAAGTAGTGTTCACTTAATGTGAATCAGATATTGTCACACGAGTGTAGATCTTCTTGTGAAATAATTTTTCTGGTAACAGTTCATCAGCAAAACCTGTAAAATTGAAGTTTTCCAAATTCTTATATATTTACCATTAAGATTCTCCTACAACTTCACTCACTCACACACACACACACACACACACACACACACACACTCACTAGATATTAACAATTGTATAGGACAGTGAGAGCACTGGCCTGTACAGAGATGATGCAGTTATACTTCTATGCAACACCAATCCACAGCAAACTGACTGGCTCAGGAAACAACTAATCCAATTCTTTAAAGATCATGGACTTGATATCACCAAGGTGATCAACTTGATACTACTTTCGATCTATCCAGAGGAGTGCACATGCCTTATAATAAGGAACTTTATAATCACATATACATTAGTAAAGAATCCAGCCA